TTTTTATTAATAACATAAGCTTTTAGTTGAGTATTTTAAACTCCTTGAATGACAAAAGTTTTAATGTAAAACAGATCTATAATCTGATGTACGCTGCCCAACAAAGACGTTATTTATTTATTAGTTTTGAAATAATTCCTGGTAATACACATAGCTTAAAAATTAGTCGATTTCGAGAAACAGGTACACTACATTATAGTGCAAACAAAACGTAAATAACACTTAGATTTTCAATCCATTACTGATTTTATACTGATTTTAAGTCTAAATCTACACAGGCAACGTAACTTATGAAATACTCTTAGTTTATGAAGGCTTGGTATAAAAAGTCTTGTAAAGTGCCATTCTTGTGTGTTCTCTGGTTAGGAAACTAGCCTTAATATTTAGTTGTTTATGATATAAGCGGTCTGATTCATACCTACAGTGTATTCAGGTTTTGGACTGGCTAGGCCTATATACAAATATGCATGAGTGTTCGATGTCATCATGAGCGTTGGAATGTTTACCTAAAAAAAATGTCGTAGTAGAGGGTGATAGTGTAAATCATAGCTGTTCCCTGGTCCATCGGCCGGTGCCTCGAGGGGTAATGACCGACGGACTAGGGATAGAGCTGATGACACATCCGGTCATGTGAACATCGATATATTAACTAATACTATTTAATAGTAACTAGGTGAAACCCGTAGAAATCGACGGTTACTTTCAAGGATTACGTTAATTCACCTAACTGCGATAAATTGGATGAAATATAGGCTACATATTTTGAGCATTTAGCATTGTTTAAAGAATAATAAGTGTAAAAACAATATTGATATTAATTGCGTTAGTCGCCAAATTCGGTTGATCATTCAATGAATAAAATCTGGAACATTACCATACGTCCCTTACCATACGTCATCGGAGTTATTATTAGTATGTTATCTGGTATCTCTTCCTTTGGAAGAACCTTTAAATAGTATTAAAATCGTATTGGTGGATCTTTTGTAGTTAAACACTTCCGTGATTTCATCAGTGTAATATGATTTTATTTGAAAAGAAAACTTTTTTTGGGAAGACATATTCAAAGGGAGGTATATCCGTTACAGTGTAAGTTTGATTTTTCCTTCGTCACGTCGCGTCAGTTCATATCTTACTTCTGTGCCAACGAATGCACCCTCTAGCTTACTTTTGAGAAATTTATTTTGAGGTTACTGTTGAAGCTGGAATTTCTTGACATGGGGGATGTCAGTTTCTTAAATAGGTGACATACGTAATTTTGATCACCACAGTCCATATTACAATAATCAGCAATAACATTGCGTACTCCTTTATGCATGCTCAAACCCCCTCAGCTCCTGGACTACAAGGCCTGGCCTTTGTGTCAGTGGAATTTGACAAGCGAAGTTTGCGTACACCACCAAGAACCACGGCTAGGTGTTGACTATTTGACTAAAGCAACCAATCAGTTCTCACTGATCAAATAAAACTTACTAACTATATTAAGTAGTAATAAAAATATACCGCTTTTAAATTACTATCTAGATAAATAAATGTATATGTAACTTGGTCTTATGTGATTGTTGGATGTAACAGCCGCTCATACACTAGACAGAATTGTCACGTATGGAAATGTATAAGCGGTCTTTCGGCCTTGACGGTTTTATTCATATTTACAGTTCTGATTATGTAAATACTTAGCGGCTACTATTACAATTAACGTTATTAGTAATCTACAATAGTACAGTTTCTAAATTAAAACTATTTACATTAGTCAGTTCTTTTGGTCTTAACAAACTTATATATAGTTAAATATAGTTACTGCCCAAGTTTGTGGAGGTATAATATCGCTTTAAACACGGAGCTATGTCTCTATTGTAATAATACCGGTATTGTTTGCGTATTCTTTCGATCCTTTGGTCCAGCATAAGATAGTGACCAGAAATCATAACGTAGCCAAAATAAAGTGTCTCCTAAAACTAATAATGTTTAATGGTAGCTCAACGTTATTATCTGAAGCAACATTGATTGAAACCCAGATTTGTGTATGTTAAAAATAGTATTTATATGTTACTATAACTTTTACAGTTAAAGATATTTAACAAGGGATTGGGACGTTGTATTCCGCGTTGGATGGTTACTACATTTAGCCATGTAAAACAGGTTAGTTAAACCTTCAACCCTAACAGAACTGAGCGATAAATAATTAATTGTAATTAAGAAACTGTAAATATTGTACATTACTAATAACGTTGATGTAAATAGTGGCCGCTAAGAATGTACATGGTAAGAACAGCATATAGGAATACAACTGAAAAGACCAAAAGGCTGCTTCATACATTTCCAGACTTGAATTTGGCTTAAGTAAAATTTGTCTAGTAATGTATGAGCGACTGTTACATCTACACTCTATCTATTCTATCTATATATTAATTACGTAAGCCGATTCTTTGCGTCAAAATTGTGGTGAGAGACTGGGAAATCGTAGAACGATTGTGGCATCTGTTGTGGCTGCCTAGAAATAATCGGACGTTTGTTTCTCCTTTGAAAATGTATTGATAATTATAATTAAAAAATAAATGATTCAGGATTTAATGGAAAACTTTTGCTTTGTTTTAATTTCAAAACATATGTTCAAGATTTATTCAATTTTACTTTCTCCCCCTATACCATAGTATATGGAGAAAGTATTGTTTTCATCAAAATTTTCGAGTTTGAGTTTTGAGTGGATATATTCGTTTTGGGTCCCCCTGGACCCAAAAAAGTGGTTTTCGAAGTGATGTCTGTGTGTATGTGTGTGTGTGTGTGTGTGTGTGTGTGTGTGTGTGTGTGTGTGTGTGTGTCTGTGTGTCTGGATGTGTACAGAGCTAGAGACTACACCTGTGGTCCGATTTCGATGAAATTTGGTATGTAGGTTCTAATCCATGGTATCTCCAGGCGTTTTTTTCATTTTTTTTAATTTTGATTTTTTATGGGGATTTTCCCATAAAACCCCATAAAAAATGAAAAATAGGATTACAGAAAAAAATCCAGCTTTGATTTAACATTGTATGTTATAGTCCTTACAGTTTTGATAGTCTTTTTTTAATTTTTTAGAAATTTTTATTTTTAATGGGGATTTTCCCATAAAACCCCATAAAATAACAGAAAATATGATTTTCCCAAAAATGGCCCGACCGATTTTTATAAAAATTTAGTATGTTATAGTCCTTTATATTCTGAACAAAATGGTACAAATCCCATTTCTGTAAAAATTACGGTTCAAAAGTTATTATAAATTATGTCATTTTCCCATAAAACCTCCATAAAATAACAGAAAAATCGGATTTTCCCAAAAATGGCCCGAACGATTTTGATACAAATTTAGCATGTCATACTCCTTTAAATTCTGAACAAAATTGTACAAATCCCATTTCCGTATATTTACTCTCACCGCTTACACATGATAAAGGTTGTTGACAAACTTACGGGAGAAAGTATGTGTCAGAATGCTGATACCGTTTATTTTTATATTTTATTTTACCAATTTTAATTTTAGATTAATTTATTGTGGTGTTTAATCAATTATTGTATAAAGGGATAAACCTCAACGGCCACTCTTGGAAATCAACCTGGGAATAAAGATGAAATAGGTTCGTTCAGGACAGGCAATATATTTGTTCATTAATCATCAAGTAAGTACTATGACAAGTTCCAATGGGCGGAAACACATAATTTTTTAGAGGAGATTTTAACCAGGTACTCCAAAAAAGGTTCAAATAATATAGCCCAGCATGTACGGTTTTAAAGGAAGCATCCATATATAACAGTAAAACCTAGAGGTAGTTTCCGTTTCTTAAAACCAACCAAAAATATGCATGTCGAAGATTCTGATGAAAAGTAATTAATTGTTTTTTAACTGGGTAATGGAAACCTAACCAGTCGCAAAATAGTTAGGAATCAGCCGTTGAATAGACCCCTTTTTGATAGAATATTTAAAATCAATCGCACCTTTAGGAGGAATACCACCACATAATCTTACACTAGGCTAATAGTAGTTTTTATGTTGATCAGAAACAAATCTAGCGATACGTTTGGTCAATGGGATGCTTTTACTTTACACTAATTTTGTTAAACCTTTCCAAAAGGAGCATAAACGTAGAAATAATAACTTCGTAGGGATGCTAATTTAGCGGTTTTGACCAAGAACTAAGCTTATCTCAACACACCTTTATTTGCCTTTTCATTTTTGACGAAGACGATTTCCAATCTTTCAATCAGGGAAGCCTTTTTATTATCATTATCATCAAACACAAGACCAAAGCTACCTTAGTAAACCAATATTTATTCACAAACATGTTTGCTGCCTTTAGTAGTAGAGTTAAACCTCTGGAGTGATATAAATTATTTATTAAAAATAACGTCAACAAAAGCAAAGAAAGACTAATAACAAACTGTTTCTCAATGAGCTGCAGACAAGCCAAAACTTTCCTGGCTTTTGTAGCAAGTTGTTTATAATAAATTGTTGTAAGATTGTATGATTTTTAAAGAAATAAAATAAATCTCTTAAACCGGTGACAAGTTGAAGGGGAGATACAACTAGCCGCAGGTACAACTAGACGTAGGTACAAGTGGGCGTAGGTACAACTAGTCGTAGGTACAAGTAGTCGTAGGTACAAGTAGTCGTAGGTACAAGTAGTCGTAGGTACAAGTAGTCGTAGGTACAAGTAGTCGTAGGTACAAGTAGACGCAGACGTATGAGGTACAAGTAGACGGTGACGTTCCCGACTAGTTGTACCTGTAGATTTTTAAGAGGTACAACTAGACGTAGAGACAACTAGACGTCCGCACCATCGTCAAGTTGTCTCTACAGCTTTGGACGGGGTACAACTAGACGCCTGTCACCAAAATGCAGCAGGTACAACTAGACGCCGGTACAAGTAGACATCGCCCCAGAAAAACACTATTTAGGGTTAGGGTACCAAAACTAAAATTCAAAGGGAAATAATACTTTCTCCATACATCTACTGTGTTAAGTGACTTACATGTGAGTTCCGATCTCCTTGACTTCGTGATGTATGACCTCGTCCAGATTGTGACCAGGCTCCAAGTCTCTGGCTACTGAGTCTCCTTGGTGTCCAGTAAGTGGGATACGGAGAGAACTTGTCTGAAGATCAGCCTGCCAGCAAAACATTTTTAACTTTAATATCAACCTTACTAATCTAATGTAAAATAATACAGTAGAGCATGAATTATCCAATTATCCATCCGAAACAACAGATAACAAAAAGGAAGAGAGAATTAAACAAATTAAATCGGGTGGCAATCACAAATTTAATGTCCGCTACTCAAATGTCTACAAGAATAACTATTTGTCTACTATGACCATGTGCACCCTTATGACTCTGTTCCAGTTTAATTTCCGGTTCCTGACGGCTTTTGTCGGTGGCAGTTTGTACGCCATTGCGTAGTGTTTTTTAAGTAAGGGCCATTTAAGTAAGTTTGCTTGTAAGTCGCAACGAGGTTCCTCACCACTTTCTGGCATCATTTATGAACAGAATGACACAACTTGCAGCTTACAATCTAAACTTTCAGTTTACAGTAGAAACATAAGTCAATAATAAGATACATTTTCTAGCGGAAAGTAAATAAAAGAAACCTCTTATAACACCTAAAACATATATTTACGCTTATACTGATACTCACAAGATGGTAAGTGATGATCGATTTTGATTGGACACTCCAATCATCATCAGACCCAATAGGCGAAAGGGCGAATTCGCCTATTGGGTCTGATGATGAATCAAGAAGATATTTAAATTTTCTAGATATGACTATTGAGAAGGATAATAGTAAACTAAACTTTAGTATTTATAGAAAACCCACGTCTTCAAACCAAACAATACATGCCTTGTCATACCATCCTTTTACTCAAAAAGCGAAAGGGTTAATAATTTTGATGTGTATGATTCCAAGTACCACTTTGCTATATTTTATTTTTCTACAACATAATAGATAATCCTTTATTACCTTCAATGTAACATCTTTGGCAGATTGAGTGCTATCGTTGTGTACACAAATATAGCTTGAGAATGTCTCACCCAAGTAAATGTTTCTGAAATCAAAGACAGCATTACATCACTTTTAGCCAACACATTTTTAAAATAAGTAAAATATTAAATAAAAAAAACAATATTACATCTGATAACAAGACAAATCTCTGATGGAAAACTTGTCACAGAGATAGTATAGTTCGGCCGCTTAGAAAGCGACCTCCTCCAGCATTTGTTTAGCATTAGCACGCAGGTCGTTTTCTAAGCGGCCGAACTATAGTATGTTTTCTGTGACACAAGTTACAATTCGACAACATTGGTTAAAAAGATAAGAGGTAAGACCTCACATAGCCAGTAGGTCGTCCAATCAGATGGATGAGCATAATAGTAGAGCGACCAATTAGATTTAGGCAGAAATAATATGCCGCCCCCTGTAAAATATCCTAAATTTAATTATATCAACAGCCTGAGTCTAATGGTAATTTAAAGTGTAAACAGAGTAAAACCAGCTTCTATATTTGAGGAATGAGAATGTAACCTAGAAAAATCGGTACTTACAAATTATACCGACCACATCTAATAATGTAACGTAACCTAACCTAAGGGTGGTTAGGTTAGGTTAGGAGGATTTTTGATTTAAAACAAAATTATTGAAATCTTGGCATTTCATAAATCTTAAAATTTGGAAATCAATTTATTGGTGATGTTATTGGTATAATACGTAAGTACAAAAACATCTGTATTATTTCTTGAGGTAAAGGCCTTTGTAACAAGGGCCGATCTGTTGCTCAACAAATTACTTTGTTGTCAGGCCACATAACTGGCTTTTTCTAAATTAAAGATATGAAATTACGAGTAAATAGAAATATATATAAATAACTTTGTTAAAAAGTTATTTCCTCAGCAGTGGTGTTGGTCGTCATGTAAGTAGTCTACAGTAAATTAGAACCTCGATAACAAGACTCTCATGGGTATTATAAGACTTGTTAAATCAAGATTTACTTCTTATCGAGATTTACAACAACATGTGATCAGGGGTAAAATGAATTCAAGGGAATTTACAAATGGCACTTGTTATCAAGGGTGATTTGTTTTGGAGGGTCTCGTTATCGAGGTTCCACAAATTACCGGTAGATCTTGATTTGTCTGCCTGTTTGTCCTCCAATGTAATATCTTATCATGTTTGTGTATGTCTTATGATAGGAGTTTTCATGTATAAATATTTTAAACATGAAAATCCCTATGAAACAGGTTGAGGCCTATTCTCAAACTGTTGTGATGAAAATAGCATTATAATGGTAAAAATTGTACAAGCATGAGGATGAATTAAGAAAAGAGTGTTTTAAACGATAAACCTACCCAAAACTTTGTGGTAGTAGTAAGAATTGTCCTATGGCAAATGACTCAGCTCCAGGAACTGCAGTTATGTCGTTTTTTAACTGGTTGTTCAAAACCATTCCAAGGAGATCAGTAGACTCTGTTTGTACACAAACTGGACTTGCTAATGTTGGTCTTGTTAGTCGCATAACTAAAAAAAATTAAAACTGCATTTCATGTCATAGAAAAGTAGCCTTCCAATAATAGATAGGCTAAACCAAGAGAAAAATTATATTTAGTAATCCAGCCTACTTATTTGAAAGTATATTGAAAAACAAGCTAGGAGAACAGCATTTTAAAACACAATGAGGTTGGAATGTAGTTGCGTTATGAATGGTTAGCAGAAGGTTCTCTTCTTGAGATGACACACAAAAAATCTATATTTAGTAGGCCTATACAAGTTATTAAATGAAATATGCATATTGATATAAAAATTGATATTTATAACCGGTAGAGGTTGAATCCAGCGCAACCCGACCGTGTACTGCCATGGAAGGGGGGGGGGCATGGTGTTTAGAGGCATAAATAATAAAGCTTTTAAGGCTAGGCTAATGGAATACATCAACAAATTCCATTAGAACCTCTTGGTGGAAGGACAGTTAATTAATTGTAAATGAAGAAGTTTTCTCTTAGTTTATCTTGATTAGGCCTACCTCATTCCTTTCTTCTTCACCAAGCCCAGATATGCCGGATAGGTTGTGTCGTTTGGAATTAAATAAAGATAAAAATACTTAGGCTACTGATACTTTTGTACCTATCTTATTTACATATTATGTACATTTACATTTTACATGGTGGTGTATCTAACCTCAATTTAGTTTAGTCTTTTGAAAAACTTGTTCAGGCTATAGAGTGGCTTTCTAACTAGCCATGTCGTCAAGGCAGTGTTAAATTTCCTTGTTTCCAGGTTTTTTATGTCTTGGGGCAAATTGTTATATAAATCTTAAGCACTATGGTCGGGAAAGCATTTTTGGTCTTGGAGAGACTGCAAAAGGGAGGGAAGGTCTATTTCCTCATTAGGCCTAGTATTATGTCTTGTTAATATTCTGGTCGGAAAATTTTGGATGGTGATTTTGTTTTTAGGTTATGATGACATAGCAGAATAAAGTGGCTATAAAAGACAAACATAAGTTAACGCACAAAAAACCTTTAACTTAGGCCTAACTGTTTTTTTTGCGTTACCTATGTTTATGTAGGCCTATTTGTTTGAATGTTTTTTTAACGACTCTATAATGGATGAAGATCAAACATTCTTGGTAGGAAATCACCTGACGATACCTGAATAGGCAAAACATGTTGTGAGTTTATCTACAACAACATTTGAACTGTCGACGTAAAGGTATGTACCTTATATTTGTCTAATTCAACAGTTCAGGGGCTACATCATGAATTATAAAAATAGTAAGTCCCTCATGAGATATTAAACATTTAACTTTTAAATATACATTTTCGTTAGTGAAGCCACAGATGGGGTGTGCTAGTGACTAAATAACACTGATGCATTGGTATGATATTAGTTTTACTTAAAACGAGATTATGTTTTATTGAAAATGTAAATCTTTACTAGAAGAATAATGTAAACTAGGACTAACCTTTGAGTGCTAACAAGTGTTCAGGTTTTTCTCTTCCTTCCATTTTGCAAGATTGTATTTATTGTTGTAAATAAGAAATTAAAAAATATGCACAATTTCACACTCTACAACTTCTTTGATCATTTGTTTTAGGCTACCAACTCAATAATTATTATACAAATATTAGGCAGAGTTAAGGCAGGTTAAATATGTTGACATAGACAGAAGATGAAGACGACAAACAAACAAAACAAAACAACACGAAACGTCAAACGTAAAACCAAGAAAAACAGCTGTCCTGCTACTGAATCGCTGAATCCAGTGGTTAGGCTTGGGCAGTGGTCACGGACAGGTAGAGTTAGCATTGAGTATAGTTAGTTTTGAGATGTTTTAAGTCCAGGGAGCCGAACCCGAAGCCCCACTGAATTCCTAATGTTCTGTAACTTTGTTTCCCTTGTCTGTGATTGTAGGGTCCAATGTGATCGACATCTCAAATGACCGAAACTGAAATAGTCACACCGAAACTAAAATAGTCACATTTGACTGACATTATCATACAACTCCAGTTGTGAGCTTTGGTTATTGTTATGGTGGTAACCCATAACCAATGGAAGGATAATAGTTTGTTATTCAGGCTTTCAAGTGACTTGAATAGTTGAAGCGTTCGTAGCGCACATGTCTAGGGAGTAGAAGACGACTAGGCCCCTTTACTCCATCTCCATCACGGATGTTTTTGAAACACCTTACTCAGTTTGGCGATCCACCACCTTGTATATAGAGTATAAAGTGTTTTAAATGTGGTTTATAGCGCAATTTATCCAGCTATGGCTGCTGGGCAACGATGAAGGACCGGTAAAGGTAAAGGTTGAAGCCATCCCAGCCCGGCCGTGCACCGCCGCCGTACCATGGTGAGGGGGTGGGGCGTGGTTTTAGAGACTTGATTTGTTGATACTTGTAGGTATCCCATTAGTAGCACGGGTGTGCCATGGTCGTCAAAGTTTTGGCGTATTCTAAAAACTCTTCTACTGAGTTGTAAGGCCTAGTTGTTAAATATTCTTTAAGCTTGGATTTAAACTTCTCCGTATCTTCAATTTCCCATAAGCCTGCTGGAATTTTATTGTATATTTCTATGCATGTACTGCAGGTCTTGGTCCATCTCTCACTAAACTCGATGAAACTTGTGGTACATGTAAAATTTCCTTCTGCCTCGTTGAATAGTTATGGATTTGATTTTTCGGAAAATGTTCTGGCTTCCTTTTAACTGTCACTGCAGACTTAAGGATGATCAGAGCATGCAGTGTGAGTATTTTCAGTTGTATAAAAATTGGTTTACAATGTGATAAGTAAGGTTCTCTCACAATTGTTCTTACTATGCGTTTTTTAAGCAAAAATATACGCTCCACCAAAGGACTATTATTCCCCCAAAATATCACACCATAATTCATTATGCTATGGAAGCATCCAAAATAAACTTTCAACAGTACAGCTTGATCAACTATCAGTTGCAGCCTACGTACCATGTGGCACACAGCTTTCAGTCTTGCTGCTGTGGCATTCACTTGATTCTGCCATTTTAAGTCACTGGATATTGTCAGACGAAGACAATAGCCTAGACACTTACTTAACAATAAACTAGACATACATAACTGTACAATGCAATTGTCTGCTTGCAATATTGAGCGGAGCTAGAATATTAATCCAACAATTTTCTAAAGTCAATGCTACCGGTACATATGTTTCTCGTAAATGATATATGTATATACTTGGAGTATCCAATGTCAATTGCATATTTCGTTCACGCAAATGGAATGTCTATTTGCAGTATTCAAAGTTAATTATTATAAGTCTGGTTCACGTAAATGAATTAATTGTGTACTTGATGGAACCAAAGTCTATTTGCATCTGGTTCTAATAAATTAAATGTCTACTTGCAGTATCGTCAATGAGTCAATGTTATATTTGGTTCGCATACATAAAATGCAATGCATATTTGCAACGCCTCGGAATGCCTATTTACAGGTTCTAAAGTGAATGGTACGTCTGGTTCACGTAAACGAATTGTTTATTTGCAGTATCCAAACTTAATAGTACATTTGGTTCAGCGGTTCAGGTAAATGAATAGTCTACTTGCAGTATCCTTAATCAATGGTACACCTGTTTCACACAAATGAGAAGTCTACTTGCAATATCCAAAGTCAAAGGTACGTCTTTTTACCTTCCCAGCCTTCCCATGGTTGGTTACTATGATTGTGCTAAATTTCGTGCAGATCACTTCAGCCGTTCAGGAGGAGTATTAATTTGTAAAACCAAATCAGGAGTGTAGGCTAGTACACAAAATTCATAATATCTGATAAATTACAACTCATAAGCTTCGCTCCGCTCAATAATATTTTTTAAGGCTAATGGAACACACAGACAAATTAGGACCGTTGTCATATTAGACATTTAGTTACTGATAGCAGTCATGTATTAAAAACACCCCCACCGTAGCAAACCTGCAGACTAAGCGAATTTCCATTTTGTCTGATTGGATTTACACTAGCATTTCGCCTTAAAAATGTCAAATTTATTCCCCATTTAAATAGAATTAGTTTAACGAGTACTTAGGTTTGCAGCAACAGGGAGGGTAAAAGTGTTCTTTTTGTAAAATGTTAATAGTTTAGTAAGAAATAAATACATCTTCTAAATTTGATAAAAATACGTGCATAAACAAGCAAACTACAACAGTTTACTTATTCTCCATAAGAATATGGTAACATAGGAATTTTTAATTTAAAATTTTTTTGGAATTTTCCCCGTAACCATTTGGCGCATAATAAAGCTTCAATATACTAAATTATTTGTGTTTAAGCTCTATGAAATGATGTGAAAAGAAATTGCTACATTTTATGTTTTTTTTTTGTTAAAAATAAGGAATACCCATTTTTACCCCATAAAGCCCCGTTCCCATAGCCCGATCATGCTGGTTTGCGAACTCGTTAGAATAAATGCAGGTTTACACGTTTATACAACATTTAATCAAAATCGGATCATTTTTGCTCGAGTTATCGTGTCCGAGCTAACGGACATTAATATATATATATATATATATATATATATATATATATATATATATATAACATATACAGGGTGATCAACTCAAGGAGGCCACCATTGGGATATCGGAAACGGTAAGAATTAGAGAAAACTTTAAATGGGGGACATTCCTTTATTTTTTGTAGCAGTTAAAAATATGATTTCATTTTTTTGAAATTCAGCCGCCATTTTCCAAAATGGCGGCCAACTTTGAAAGTTCTTATGGAACACCCTATATTTTATCACGTTTTCGGATAGAACAGGCAATTTAAAAACTTTTTTATTCTTGACATTTTTTCGATAAACCCACTCGTTTAGGAGTTACAGCCTATGGAAAAACTACTTCCGGTGTACATTTTACATCATGTAGCTCTTAAACAAGTAGGTTTATAGCGAAAATGCGAAAAGTAAATAAGTCTTAAAATTGCATCCACATTCCAAAAAGACCATAAAATTTGTTAAAACTATTAAATCTATTATTTCAAAAATGGCGGCCATTTTCCAAAATGGCGGCAAACCAGAAAAGAGAAAAACTGTGTATTTTATGGTCTTTATGGAATGTGGATGCAATATTAAGACTTCTTTGACTTATTTACTCAGGGGTGCCCATCCCCCCCTAGACTCATGACGCACCCCCCCCCCCGCCAATTGAGCAACAGCCCCCCACCACCATAAATGAGGTACACAACAAATGAGAAACATTATTCCCCCACCCAGTACGATTTGTAAAACTAAAAGAAGTTTTATACATTTTTCTTAGATATTTAAAATTCAAACCCAGTTAATCTATATAAATAAAGTTATAGTTTTGTCTGTACATTGCTCAGAACTATACATATTTTGGGTTATTTTTACGTTTTATACATTGAAGAAGTTGAAACATGTCTTATCTCAATTTACGTCTGTCTGTCACGGCCCAGAAGGCATTTTACGCAGCCTACTCTAAAGAAAACTAGAGTACCGATTATGATTCTAATGGTTTAATTGTATTCACAAGATTGGCGAGAGTGTCCTTATAGCCATTAAAATATGGCCTCACTATTTTGGAAATAAAATAACGGACGATCAAAAACCCAATTTTGTGTGATTTTTCTAGTTTTTTCTCCATGTTTACTACATACGTCATTTATGAAATACTAATAATCTGTTAAGAGAACACGTCATTATATGAAATTACGAACAGCTGTTTTTATAAAGATTCCTTTTTCTAGCTGTCACTGGTATGTTTACATTTTTTTTACAGCATAATTTATTTCTGGTTCAATGTAGACATTATACACAGAAGTGTTAACAAAATTAATAAGAAATGAACTATAATTAACATCGTGGGTTCGCCCAAACCTGAGTCACCCTGTAACATAATTAATTTAGAGAATAATTTAATCTTCTTTAGGCATCATTCCTCGAATAGATCTTGAAGGAGCCTTCGACGTAGCCTCCTGTTCTCAGTTGCTTCACCAAGATGAAAGGTTGCACTAGGAACATCGTTTAAATGTTGTTTACGAATACTGTTTAGGCTCTAACCACTTCCGATCACGTTTGTAAGCAAATCCAAAACCAAGTGAGATTAATAACCGTGTGGCTTTGGCTTACATAACGGGTTTGATTTACCACGGGGTACTAATATGTAACTGTAAATTAAATTAAATAACTAGCCATCATCCAGGTCGGGAACCGGAGATTCTGTGTGTATCAAGTTGTACTTGAGTTTTGGTTACCGGGAAAAGACCGTGAATCAGTGTTGTACAGGACTGGAAAACTTATCTTTCTATATAAATAAAATTAGAGTTTTATAAGTCACCTCAATTTAAGGAATTTTTAATGCTAGAATATCTATATAGCGTATGTAACCTCTGCTTAACGAATTGTCAGCCTTTCTCTTGATATAACGATCCCCTCTCCCTCCCTTTGGAAACATCACAGCTCCTTTGATGAAAATGAAACGACGCTTGCGCCAACAATCGTCTGCTCCGTTTTACACTTCACTGTCTGCTGTGCGCTATCACAGACAAGGGGAAACAAAGGCGCTATGTTACAACAAATTTCAGATAAAACAGCTGGGGAATGATGACGATATAAATGCTTAGTAAACTGTGATTGAGTGATAAGTAACCATGGTAACTTTAGTAAGGCTGTGATTGGCCAATGAGTCGG